CCCTTCCCGCCTCCCTCCCGCGCTCTCTTCTCACTACCCGTTTTCTCTTGAGAAACTTGGGAAGCTATTGTTAGTGACTGGAGGGTAGTATTAGGAGCCCTGGAGAAGGGCTGCCGGGGTCCAAGTCTCCATCCACCACTTACTGGCTCCGGGACTTCTGCAAGTCACTTAATCTCTGTGTGTCTCAGTTTCAAGTGTAAAATGGGGGAAGTAATAGTAACCTGTCTCATAAGGTGGTTGTGAGAATTACGTGAGGTAGTATCTTTTAAGTGCTGAGAGCCGAGCGTGATGCACAGCAAAAGTATGTAAGTGCTGTTCATCTTTTTGAGTCTGGTACTAAAAGGAGAGTGTGTCCTTCCTCTCCCCACGCCGAAAATAATTGCCCAAGAGTCCAAGGGTAGGGAAAAAAAATTTTTTTTTCTTTTTTGAGACTATGAGCTTTTGTTTGTATGGTATGTTTTTTAAAAAATCAAACATTAATAAACAACTTAGTTGTACATCCTACAGCAGAGAAAAGACAGATGTTAGAGTAATACTGAAGTTGAAAACTGAAAAGTTTTATTTGGGAAACCACATGAAAAAAAGGGCCAGAACTTATTTGTCCTGAAAAGAATTAACATATCAAGTCTGAGACTGCTATCCTTAGAAAGTTCTGCTTGCAAGGCTACACCTTGTTTGGCATCTGGAAACAGTATAGTTTATGCTGTACACTATGGTTTATGCTGAAGTTACCAGCCTCCAGGAAAAACCCGGTCCTGTGAGTCTGTAATGAGCTTCCCTGGGCACAGACATTGCTGGATTTTCCTTATTGGGGGAAAGAGTGTGCTCTGTTTGACCCTGTCTGGCTGGAAGAGAACATAAAGAAGCCTGCACATGGATTCCTGCAAACTTCACTTTTGTCTTTTTCCATTACGCTCATGTTGTATGTCCATACTGCATTGCCTTAATACAAGTTAGCCATGAGTACAACCACGTGCTGAATCCTGTGAGTCCTTCCAGTGAATCTCCAAATACGTGGGTGGTCGTGGAACTCCCCAGACACAATACTGGTGATAGAAACTACTTGAAGCTCCAGTAATTAGATTTTGTCTCTTTTTGCTTAAAAAGGGAAAGAAAAAGAAAGCTATACAGATAAGTAATTGCTAAATAGTGGGTTACTGTCCAAAATTATTTCTATGTTTAGATATAGTGCATGTGTCAGAAAAATCACTGGAAATTGACTACATTGCCAAGTTAAGTTTGAGTCTCTGTCGTTTACAGCCCTTTTATAGATTGTAGGTGAAATACCTGGGGTTTTTTGTTTTTTGTTTTTAATTCTGCAAGCACTATCTATGTGTTGATGTCTATCTTTATTAAGAGGTTATCTGTGAAGCTGGGGAAGGTATGGCCAGTTTCTCTTGAGCCATTTTTCCTGGATTCTTTTAGTTATGCCTGTATTTTCAGGACATCAAGTTGAAAGAGTTGGAGGTAAGTCTGTAAGTTTGGGGATGGAAAGATCAGATTTGCCTTCTGATTATATCTTTTTTCCCTCAGTAAAGTAGAAGACTAGATGCTATTTTGAGAAGTAGGGAGATGGAGGAGTTAGAGGTTTAGAAGAGTGAGAAAGGTTGCACATGGCTGTGTGTGTGAGTAGTAGGTAAGTACGTTTTCCAGGAAGTGTAGTAGATAATGGCAAGTCTTGATCCATTTGACGTTGAGATTGTGATTATGAATTTAGTGGACCCAGTCTGCTTTCTTACAAGATTTTCTCCAGCCTGTTTGGATACAGACATGCAGAAAGTGGTTAATTGGGTTCATTTAGGTTTGGGGTTTTGTTAGGGAGATGATGTGGTAGTCGTTAAGGCTGTGCACACATATTTTGTTCTTTCAATGTACATGGTAAGGTTGCACTCTTTTGTACACACGCCACATCCCATTCCCTTACCCCCGTGTCTACTTGAGGTTAAATGTGTTATAGGACTTGCTTGGGCTGGTAAAATGACAGACATCATTTCCAAGTGAAGCTTTAAGAACCAGCACTCCATTTGCTACTTCCCTATCTCCCTGCCTTGCTATAGTGATCGTGGAAGCACTTGGTGAGATGCAGCCTCTTGCCAGCCTGGGCACTAAAGGTGAATAGGAGTGGCTGTAGAGGCAAAGCTGGAAGAACTCGAATTTGTGATTAGGGAACAGAATTCTTGAATTAGTGATTTTGCAAGGTAGAACTATAGGGTAAGTGGGTGAGGAAGTTTGGAGAGAAAAGGCAGTCAGAAATGAAGTGGTCAAGGAACTCAGAGGCCTCGTGCATCTCTAACCCTGAAGGCCATAATTTGTTGCCGCTCTGTTCAAGAGTGATGACCCCTGGAATTAAAGAAATGGCTCTTAAAATGGTAAATTAAAAAGCTTCCATATGTGGAATATAGTATAACTGAATCAAGATTCAGAATTTATTTATTCATTTTTAAAGATTTATGTATTTTAGAGAGAGAAAGCATGTACATGAGCACAGGGAGGGGCAGAGGAAGAGGGAGAGAATCTCAAACTGCTGAGCGTGGAGCCTGATACAGGGCTGGATCCCATGACCCTGAGATCATGACCTCAGCCAAAATCAAGAATCAGCCACTGAACCAACTGAGCCACCCAGGTGCCCCAAGATTCAGAATTTATTATTGAGTTGAAAGATTTCCACCTTGATCAATAAAAGCAAATAAACAAAGAGCCATGAAAATTTCAGTGTAGCTTAGCCATAGAACAGATGATATTAGGTAGGATTTAGGCTAAACTTTAACAGTGGTTTAAAAAAAAAAAGCTTAATTTTTTATCTAAAATCTTAACAATTAACTTTGGGTTTTTAAAAAAATATAAAGGACAGAGGTAAGTAACACCTTGAAGAAAGAGACAAATTAAGTGTGGGACATTATACAATGTTGCTATTGAAAGTGTGGTCTGGGGGCGCCTGGGTGGCTCAGTTGGTTAAGCGACTGCCTTCGGCTCAGGTCGTGATCCTGGAGTCCCCGGTTTGAGTCCCACATCGGGCTCCCTGCTCAGCGGGAGTCTGCTTCTCCCTCTGACCCTCCCCCTCTCATGCTCTCTCTCTCAAATAAATAAATAAAAAAATCTTTAAAAAAAAAAAAAAACCTGCAGGAGAAAATTATTTAAAAAAAAAAAGAAAGTGTGGTCTGTGGGAGCACCTGGGTGGCTCATTTGGTTGAGCGTCCAATTCTTGGTTTCGGCTTGGGTCATGATCTCAGGGTCCTGAGATCGAGCCCCCTGTTGGGACTCCACACTCTGCGGGGATTCTGCTTGAGATTCTCTCCCTCTCCCTCTACTTCTCCCCCTGCTCGTGTGTGCTCTCTCTCTAAAATAAATAAACCTAAATCTTAAAAAACAAAACAAAACAAAAAAAACATGTGGTCTATGGACTCACAGCAATGGCTTTCCAGTGGGAGCTTGGTAGACAGGCAGAACCTCAGGTCCTGTGCCAGACTTGCTGAATCGAAATCCACATTTTAACAAGATTTTTAAGGTGACTCAAATGTACTGTCCTGATCTTTTAAAAAAAGCCAGTGTCTTGGGCCGCCAGGGTGGCTCAGTCGTTAAGCGTTTGCCTTCGGCTCAGGTCATGATCCCAGAGTCCTGGGATCGAGCCCCGCATCGGGCTCCCTGCTTGGTGGGAAACCTGCTTCTCCCTCTCCCACTCCCCCTGTTTGTGTTCCCTCTCTCTCTCTCTCTCTCTCAGTCAAAAAAATAAAAATCTTAAAAAAAAAAGCCAGTGTCTTAGGAAAGTATAAGATGGGAAGAACAGTTTCTGGATTAAAAGATGCTAACAATTAACGTGACATAACCAATACAAAGTGCAAACCTTGACTGAATCTTGATTTTTAAAAAAACAGTATGGAAGATAATTTTGGGTCAGCTGAAGAGGCTAGAATATGATGGAATATCAGAATAGGGAATTATTGTTAATTTTCTTAGATGTGATAATGTGATTATTCTTAAAAAAGATACAGGCTCTTTGCAACTTTGAAATAGTTCAGCAAAAACAAATATACTCACATACATGTATATATGTCTCTCTGTACACACTGATATTTAGATAAAACAAATAGGGCAAAATGTTCTAGATGTGGAATCTAGGTAGTAAGTATATGGTTGTTTATTATATGTTCTTTTAACTTTTGTGGAAGTTTAAATTTTTTCGTAATAAAAAAGTGGGGAAAAACCCCAGAAGAAATGCAGTAGTTTAAAACAATTTTTTTCTTTCTCAGTTGTTCAGTGCTAGGTCATACGGTGCGGGTAGGCTGGCTCTGCTGTGCTGGGCACATGGCTTCCATCCCTGGTCCATTGTGGCCTTTCCAGCTTCTACTGTTTCCTAGCTAGTGGGACGGGAGAAAGGGCAAGGGGAGCACATGACCCGGAAGCAGCACTTATTCCCTTGATCAAACCTTTCGTTTTTTCATCCACCTGGACATCATGTATCTAGGGAGTAGTTGGTAAAAGTCAAATGTAATGTGCATTTATATATTGGTTTAACCAAGATTTCTTTGGTTTCACCTGATGTTCTCTTCTTCTGTTGATGTACTAGGGCCCAACTAAAATGGAAGTCATTTCTGTTTTAATATACATTAAGTAAAATACCTAAAATTTTAATTTTGAGGATTAAAGTGTATTCATTTCCCCCTACCCCCAACCTTTTCAGTAAATAACAGATGCGGGTGAAAGAACCTTCCAAAGCTTTGCCTGAGAAAGCCAAAAGGAGGAAAAGACCTGCTATACCTCGTGATGAAGACTCTTCAGACGACATTGCTGGTAAATTGTGGTATCTGGCGTCCTGAATGGTGTTGTAGAAAATAACCATATATGTTTTTAATCAATAAGTCCTTTGCTTTTTATTTTCACTATTTTCTGCATGAACTTTAAAATCAGCTTGTCTAGTTCCAAAACATCCTGTTGATGTTTTTATTGAGATTTTGCTTAGTTTATAAAGTAACTTAGATTTGGCATCTTTTTGTTGTTTTCCATTTCTCATGACCTGTTAAAGCCAGGCCTTTAAGCCTGGAAGATGACTGGGGAGCTGGCCTCAGGCTTGCTTTTCTCTTGAACTTCATGCCTTCTGTTTCAGCTTTTCTGAGGATTTTCCTCCTTTCTCACCAGTTCAGCTCTCCATTTAAAAAGACATTTTTAATTTTTATTTCCATTTTTGAGTGTTTTTAACTTGGATAGTGTTTCAGAGTAGTTAGATTGTTGTATTGAAGGAAGTCTGAATTATATCTTTAAACATTTGTTTTATTCTTTGAAATTATTTTTTTCAGGGATTCTGATGATTGTTTTTTTTTTTTTCTTAATCTTATTTATTTATTTGACAGAGAGAGACACAGCAAGAGAGGGAACACAAGCAGGGGGAGTGGGAGAGGGAGAAGCAGGCTTCCTGCCGAGCAGGGAGCCCGATGCGGGGCTCGATCCCAGGACTCTGGGATCATGACCTGAGCCGAAAGCAGGCGCTTAACGACTGAGCCACCCAGGCACCCCGATTCTGACGATTCTTATGTTAGCTCTTCCTTGCCTGTCTTCTAGTTATTTTTTCTCAAATTGTCTAAAACTCCTACTTCCTTTTCATTTTGCTTGGTCTTTTCCTTTTTATCGTTTACAGTGTTTTCTGCAGTGTCTTTTTCACCATATGCCCTTTTTAGTTTTGTCATCCTTTTTGTGGTTTTTATTTATTTTTTCCTCCATTTCTTTCCTGAGCTCTGCCAGTCACTTCCTCCTGTTTTGCCACCTCATGCTGGAGCATTTGCTTCTGTTTTGTATTTTTATTTCATGGCAGTGATTTCTGTGCCATTTGTTTTTCCTTTTTCTTATACTGGATAGAATTTATGGCTTTGATTTTTCTTTGTTTTCTCATTCTTTAACGTAGGGTCACCTTTCTTGGACCAGTTAGTTTTAGAATATTTGTGTAAGAAGGAGGGCCAGAGCACTGTCAAGACCAGCTGGAGTTTTGAGTGTGAGCTCAGTTAGCCTTTACTTCTTTCCACCCAACAAGATTAGGCAGCCCTGGGGTTTTTTCAGAACCCGAAGGATCTTTTCTCGCTGCCTTAGAGACAAGACTGTTTCCGGCAAATTTGGCTTGTTTGTTTCTCACTTAGTGAATTAGAAATTGCCTTCTTTTGCTTCTTTTTTTTTTTTAATATATTTTTTT